CCCTAAAACCTGCCCTGTTCCCAGTAGTGTCCACGTCAGTAAACCATGCTACCATGTAGCCACTGGCACAGGCCAACAATGTTGGTGTCATCTGTGATGCTTCTCTTTCTCTTGCACATATATCCCACCCATCATTAAGGACTGCTGGCCTTATTTTAAAATCTATTCCTATTCTGAGCACTTCTTTCTGTGTTGCCCTCTCCACCTACACCCAGACCCCCACCATTTCTCTCTTTCTGTCCTAAAATGGTCTCTTAGCAGGTTACTTTCCTTCTATCTCTGCCACACTTCTATCTTTTCTCAGCAACGTTACCAGAAAAAGAAAATTAAGTGTAAATTGTATCATACTCCTCTGTGAGATATTCTTCCGTGGCTTCTCATCACATAAGGAAAACAATTCCAGTACATTTTCCATGGCCCACAAGGCCCTCCATGGTCTATTCCCTGTCCGTCTCTCTGAGCCTATTTTCTGACTTTCTTACCTTTGCTCACTCCCCTCCAGCATTACTGGTCTTCTTTCTGTTCCTCAAGCACACCAAAATGTGAAAACATGAGTATATTGCAGTGTCAGATGCAGTTAAAATGAACTTACTTAAAACCTAGAAGAGAGAAGTGAAATGGAGAGCAAAAGTGCCTGAAAGGTTGGAAGGGAATAAGATCCAAAGCCTAGGTCAGCAAGGATTTTGGTCCTATCCACAGGAGAGATGCCTCCTCTAATCTTACAGGAAGGGGGAGACCAGCATGGTTTGGAAGTAGTTACTGGATTGGAGGCCCAGGTGAGACCCCTGGTGAGATGAAGGTGGGGAAAAGGAAGATTGGGGCATCAAAACCTATCACAACAAAAACCTAATATTAGGACTGGCCTACACTTAGGAGTGGAGATTAATGGCTTGTCATTCACCCATCTATTCACTCAACAGATAGGCACTGAGAACCTGTTATTTGCCAGGACCTAGTATTAGGCACCGATCCTGGTGTTGAATTACTTTTGCTCAGCCACTCAACTTAGAAACAACACACACATTTAGTGAGACCTTGAAACAAATCTTTAGCTTCTGCTCCTGTTTCCTTCTCTGTAAAACTGGAGTAATAATGATGCCTGCTCTGCTGATTTAAATAGTTCATTGTATGATGCTATAAAGAGCTCTTTATGTATCAGCTGCAGGAGCTAGACTGGTAGCTTAGTGGAGGAAGGGACTGCATCGGTTTTGTTTACTGTTACCTTCCCCATACGTGACCATTTATGGAATGAATGAATGACTATAACTGTTTCAGAATCAGTTTGAGAAAAGGGAGCTTTGTCCTTTACAGATTTTAAACAACTACTGGTTATCTTCTTACTGACAAAATAACTGGATAACTCATGCCACATTGGTTGAATCGTGGCTTACTGAGAGTCTCCCCATGTGTGCCCCAAATGCAGAAGCTCTCCTAAAGTATATACTTTTCACATTCATGGGTAGCATGATGGTCAAAGCTATTTAGGGTCCTCTGCTCCCCTCTACCATCTCCAAAGCCTTCAGCAATGCCTTCTCTTACTTCCTTTTGCAACAAGCAGTGAGCTAGGCACACATCTACTCTCCTAAATCTACCAGCTTATACGTTGGGTACCATTTTGTCCCAGACACTTCAGATAAAAGACTCAAGATCCACAAAGATCTTGATAGGTTGTCAATCAGCTGAAGTAAAGGAGATGAATTTGAATGGCACTCAATGCAAAGAGAAACGTTGAGGTCTAAGAAGGGAAAGGTGAAGAATGGATGAAAATCAAAGTCAAGCAGCAGCTCCTACACTACAAAAAAAAAAAAAAAAAAAAAAAAAAAGCAACAAAATAAACACACAAAAATACATCAGAGGAACTAAAATCTGGAAAAGGCCATGTCAAAATAGCTATTTTCAGGTGATGTGTTTTTGCATCAAGATTTATCTAATATTTTTATAATCGGATATGAGTTGCTTAATAAAACAAGGGAATGTATCTCTCCACTTGAAATAAAAATAAGATGTCAGTATATTTCCTATACTCAGGCTGAACTAATGGTAGCTCCCTTGTTGCACACCAGCCTCCAGACCTGGAAGTGCAATTGATGATATTGGCATGAATTAGAGTATACTTTTTTCTAGATCAGTTCCTTAGATCCCATGTTTTTCAGCCTTTTCCATTTCGTCAAATGCAGTATTTTTTTTTCCTTGCCCTTCTGTAAGAATTGCTGTAAGAATAATCCTGATTTTGGCCAGCTGGCTTAAGTTAAAAAAATTCTAACATTGAAAAGGCACTATCCTAAGTGATTTACCTGCATTATGACATTTTATCTTCGTTAAAATTCTATGAGGCATGGCCTTTTATTAACCCTGTTTTCTTTGATGAAACATTAAGGTTCAAAATGGGTTAAATAACTTCATCAAGGTAGCATGGGTAATCAGAACTCTTAATTCAGGCAAATCTGATTCCCAGGGGCTGCACTCCTTAGCCCTGTTCCTCCAAATTAGACAAATTGATCTGTTGAGAACCAAACAGACACACACAAAGGCATTCAAACTACTTTGGAGAATATGTCACTCCAAGATGAGCATGGTTGTTTATGGCCAGGGCTATTCCTTTGATCTGAAAACACCACGCTGCCCAACCATTACACCCTAACGACATCCAGCTCTTTGTGAATTTCTCTACGAGGCAAATTCCTCTTGCCTCATAAAAATGCTTGCCGAGAAAGCTCAAAACCCAGTTGCAATTAATTATTGACAGAGCATGTGAATTAGAGATAAAAGAAAAGTCATTCTTTCTCCACACATGCGATAGTAAATAAATTTAATTATGGTAGGAGAAACTAGGGGATCTTCGTCTGTATTAAGTTTTATTAGCTAAGACATTTAAAAGCATGTCATCATAACAAAGAGGTCTTGTGTAATCCTAAATGTACCACTTTGGTGCAAGGCTGGAAGTGAATAGATTTAATGGAGCACATGGTGGCAGATGGTCTGCTGTACTGACAGGTATTGAACAGGTTTATCGTCAATTAACTTTGGTCTACATATGTCTATAGCAAATTGACTGTATAATGGCATTCTAAGCTTCATTTTATCATTGATAAGCCTGCCTCATTGAGATTAGGGGAAAATGGCATTAAACCCCTTTAATATTAATAGCTTGGAACTCCTAAATAAGATAAGGCTACTCTGGAGGCAAACTTGGATGGAGGAATGGGAGTGGAGGAGCAGCCTTAGCAAGGGAACCAAGAGATACGGACCCTGCTATGGGATCTGTCAGTGGCTTCGCTGGCCAATTCTGGGAGCAAAGAAAGAATAAAATCCCATAAAATGAACCAGACCTAGGCTAGATATTTCATTTTATATGTCGTTTTATTCTCAACTGAATTTATTTATTTATTTGTTTATTTATTTATTTATTTACTTGTTTATTTATTTTTAGATGAAGTCTCGCTTTGTCACCCAGGCTGGAGTGCAATGGCGCCATCTCAGCTCACTGCAACCGCCGCCTCCTGGGTTCAAGCGATTCTCCTGCCTCAGCCTCCTGAGTGGCTGGGACTACAGGCACGTGCCACCACGCTTGGCTAATTTCTTTTATTTTTTTATTTTTGAGATGGAGTCTCGCTGTTGTCTGGAGTGCAATGGCTCTATCTCGGCTCACTGCATTCTCCACCTCCCAGGTTCCAGCAATTCTCCTGCTTCAGCCTCCTGAGTAGCTGTGATTACAGGTGCCCGCCACCTTGCCCAGCTAGTTTTTATATTTTTAGTAGAGATGGGGTTTCACCATGTTGGCCAGGCTGGTCTTGAACTCCTGACCTCAGGTGATCCACCCACCTCGGCCTCCCAAAGTGCTGAAATTACAGGCATGAACCACCGCACTGGGCCTAAATTTGTATTTTTAGTAGTGACGGAGTTTCAACATTTTGGCCAGGCTGATCTTGAACTCCTGACCTCGTGATCTGCCTGCCTCAGCCTCCCAAAGTGCTGGGACTTGAGGTAGGTTTTAGGATTTTACAAATGAAGATAATAAGGCTCAAAGATGTAATTCAATTTGCTGAGGTCACAAAGCCTGTCTGTTTATTCCCCATCCCTAGGCTTCAGTTTTCTCATTTGCACAATAATGCCTTTGAACCAAGTCAGGGATCAGCAGACTCTTTCTTAAAGGAACAAGGAGTAAATACATCAGGTTCTTTGGGCCACATGGCCTCTGTGTTACCTCCTCAGCTCTGCTGTTTTACGGTAAAAGCAGCCTAGATGAATATGTAAATGAATGAGTGTGGCTGTGTACCAAGGGATGTTTATTTATAAACATTGAAATTTGATTTCTATATAATTTTCATGCATCACAAAATATTATTATTATTATCATTTTGGTTTTTTTTTTTTCCAACAACAATTCAGTGATTACAAATCATTCTTATCTGTGAGTTATACGAAAATAGGAGGCAGGAGGTAGTTTGCCAATCCTGGACTAGATAAGCTTTGAGGTCTTGTTGAGCTCAAAGATTTTCTAAAAACTACTACAACACTAATAATTTATTTAATGTATTGAGCTCTTACACATGCCAGCTTCATTGCTCAATGCTTTTTAAGCATTATCTCCCTTAATCCTTATACTACAGTGTGAAGTCAGTGCTATCATTATCTCCATTTCAGGGATTATACAACTAGTATGTAGAGAAATCAAGGGTGTATCTAGGTTAAACATAACTGGTAAGAGATAGAATAGCCATTTAAACCTAGGGATATATAAGGGATATAACGTTCCCAGGAGAGAATGCATATGCCTTATGTTGCCTTTTCTGATAATACATAGTCAAGATAAGACTATAGTCGGGAGATATAGGTAAGAAGAACTTCCAAGTGTTTATCAATTTTATTTGGTGGTTGCAAACTAGGTTGTTTATATCACACATTTTGTGCAAAGAAGGTAAGATATTTCTGGTTAGGAAGAAGTTAAGATATTTCTGGATAGGAATAACCATTCTCTTCCCTTTTCCTCCCTCTCCTAGAAATGTGATGCCCAAGACTTTGGATGGGCAAATAACCATGGAGAAGACTCCAAGTTACTTTGTGACAAACGAGGCTCCCAAGCGCATTCACTCCATGGCCAAGGACATCAAACTGATTGTGGTGGTGAGAAACCCTGTGACCAGGGCCATCTCTGACTACACGCAGACACTGTCAAAGAAACCCGAGATCCCCACCTTTGAGGTGCTGGCCTTCAAAAACCGGACCCTCGGGCTGATCGATGCTTCCTGGAGTGCCATTCGAATAGGGATCTATGCTCTGCACCTGGAAAACTGGCTCCAGTATTTCCCCCTCTCCCAGATCCTCTTTGTCAGTGGTGAGCGGCTTATTGTGGACCCCGCCGGGGAAATGGCCAAAGTACAGGATTTTCTAGGCCTCAAACGTGTTGTGACTGAGAAGCATTTCTATTTCAACAAAACCAAGGGGTTCCCTTGCCTAAAGAAGCCGGAAGACAGCAGTGCCCCGAGGTGCTTAGGCAAGAGCAAAGGTCGGACTCATCCTCGCATCGACCCAGATGTCATCCACAGACTGAGGAAATTCTACAAACCCTTCAACATGATGTTTTACCAAATGACTGGCCAAGATTTTCAGTGGGAACAGGAAGAGGGTGATAAATGAGGCTAGAGAGGCAGAAGAAGGCTAGTCAATAGCTAAGGAGGCTCCTTGCCTGAGTCCTTGAATACCCCAGCTTCTGCAGCTTCACTTGCTGGAGTGCCAAGTAGATCTCCTCCTCCTTCATGCAGCCAGGATTGCCTCCAGTGTTGTTAGCTTAGGCAAACAGGTGGATCCCACGGCATCCCCATGGAGGAACCAGGCCCATCTGGGCAGCAGCATCTGGTTGACCAGATGGCCACCAGAACCCACTGTTCATTCTTATCTTCTGCTAGTTAATATAGCCTGAAGACAGAGGATAAATAGCTGTCAATGTCAGAGACAGTGCTATTAATGTATATGTGAGTGGCAAAAAGGGTCTGCTTTATGGGGGTTCTCACTTTAGCTTGGGGAGCCAGGGTTCTAGCCCTGTATCTGTCACGGGCACTCTGTCTACACCTCTGCTTGGGCTTCTCTCCAGAGTGCACTTTGTGGCTGAGTGCTCCAGGACTCCTAGGGAGCAAGGTCCTCCCTCTAAGGTGTTTGTAGTCTTCTCTTTAAAGGCCTCATTCCACAACCCCTGACTTCCTCCCTCCCCACATCATGAAGGCAGAGGCATGCACGTTCCTCAGCAAACACACACACAAACACACACACACACACACACACGCGAAGGAAAATAAAAGCTGACACCCCTCAAAGCCTTCTTTCCAAGAGCCCTCTAAATGGGGTTGGGTCTCGCTCTTCATGAGTATCCTGGGTTGTGGAGAAGCTTAGCGTATGCTCTTGTGTTCAGATCAGGGCCACAGGGCTGCTCTAAGAGTAAAGTAATTATAACTGAAGTCAGAGCTCTGAGGTTGGCAGAGATGAGTGGCCATATCTGGGGGTAAAAGAAGAAATCCTGTCTTCTTGGTGGGAGGTTGCCTTACCTGAAGCCCATCTCTCCCAAGCACTATGGTTCTGAGGCATGTTTTTGGGGGTGAACTCTGTCCCCTAGGTCCCCAGAAGGGCAAAGACCAGAAAGTTGACAAGTCTGTTATTAGGAGTAATCCTTAGCCATGTAATGGGGAGAGGAGCAGTCATCATTCTTCCAATTTGCCCCACCACCACCACCTCGGGCTTCATTTTCTCTATTTAGAGATGGCAGAGAGTAGGGTAGTGGCAAGAAAGCTGACTCCATTCATCAGATCCAGTTTATGGGGGTTGGGGTGAGCAAGGACTGTCTGCAGACATCCCCATCAAGGGCTGCTGAATGAAGTGTCCCTTCCCATCAGTTTGATTCAATTAAAATGCATCATTTGACATAAAGCACTTGTTCACAGGTCTCCAAAACCGGGAATTGTTCTAGTAAAACTGGAAATTTATATGAGTGGGGGGAGTTAAATCTGTTCAGCTGTTATTAAACTGTCATTTCTCCCGCTAAATGAAAACTGTGTTATTATAAAGCTTAATGCAACCTGATTAATGGGTTTTGATGCTGTGTTTGTGTTGATCATCTCCATCTTCCCCCCTCCTCTGGAATGCCAGGAGCATCCTCTCTCTGAGACGGCCAGAAAGTCCCAGAGTCAAGAATGTTCAGAAGGTTCTGTCTGCAGAGCACAATAAATCTTGCAATAGTACAAAGCAGGTGGGTCCTAAAAGGAGTGCAGCTTTTCCTATCTTAACCAATCCCAGCAAGGAATGAACTGATACGCCAGATTCATAAACAGCCTTACAAATAATTTTTCCAGATAATAAAGCAGTTATTGAGCTGAAGGCAACCCATATACCTGCACTATCAATGCAAAAGAAGAAACAGATCAAAATGCATACATACACATTTGAAGGAAGAAAACGCACTCATTTTTAGAAGGGCAAACTGTGGGACTCATGTGGGTTTGGTTTCATAAGCAGAGCAAGGCGTGAGTGAGTTTCAGTCCTCCCTACCCATCAGAGTCAGCCATGGAGTTTGTTCAAGCTTACAGCTTCCTGAGCTCTGTTTCAGATCTGTTCATGAATCAGAAACTCTAAGGCGAGGCTCAGGAATTCATCCTTTAAAAAATATTCTTAGGGAAGCTGGAACTGAGAGCAACTGGAGGAAAAGACTTTCCTGTGTATTTCTTTGCCTCCTCTCCCTCCCTCCTACCTCCTTTTATGCTTTTGCTTTTCTGGGAATTATTTCCAAGGGAAGTGACCTCCACAGTGTTATGGCTTCCCTGCAGAAACGTGTGCTCTTTTGGAGTTCAGTGGCAAGAGGGTTAAGTGTTGCCCTTATAACTTAGACAAAGGAGAATCTGGTTGTAGCAATGCTTTAAAGAAATAAACGACCTATTAATCTAGCTTACTCTCATCACCTCCATTCTGGGCAGGCACATATTCATTTGGACCCTCAGTCATACCTACTCTCCATTTTCCATCTCCCTGGTTGTCTATGTGTCTTTAAAAACCCAGAACATCAAGACTTGCCTCCAAAACATGTGTCCTCACATAAATACGTCCCCAAAATATGACAAGCAAATCCATTTTGTAATGTGGTTAGCCAATGGTGAATAAGCCATTTCACCTGGGAAATAAAAGTGGAGAACCCCCCTTAAATTATTTATACATCCTTGCATACAACAGGTTAAAATTCCCTGGAGAAAGAGGGCAGAGGGCTAAGCCTTGGGATCTAGGGGATTTTCATATTTAATAGTGTTTGGTGTTATAGTTGAAAACTCATGGTTCTGAAGAGAAATGCAAATTTGTCATGTTTAAGGTCCATTTTCTTCAGTGTCTACTCTAGCTTGATCCTTGTCACTCTGGGAGTGAACCACTTAGCCATGTCCCCTTCTGCAATGTGGAGACTTGATGAAGGAATTATTTTCTATCCAGAAAAGCTAAGTCAACTTGCTGAAATAGAGTCAGGTTAATAATACTTCCGCTCTATTTAAACGTGAGCATTGCAACTCACGGGAGATTGAATTTTGTATTTGATTTCAATTAGCAAAGCATAAATTATGTTTAATTTTCTGTCCCCCTCCTTTCCCTCAAATGGATGATTCATGGCTCTGGGAAGGCTGCTGCGTGTGGTTCAGAGACGGGAAAAGGAGAATTCATCCTCCCAAATAGTGCAGCTGTCATTGCTCCTGTATTCGTCTCTTTCTGCCAATATCATTCTGTACCTGAAAGGTGTGAAAACTTTGACTTAGACCTACCAGCTCAAAACACAACAATAATAATCAAAAGCATCCAGCAGCCCATTTATCTTTTGGACTGTGTATGAAAGTCACGACTTTAGAATAGTAAATATGTGACCCTTCTTTGGGATTCCCTGCAAACTTCAAGAGCCCCTCGGATCAGATTTTAAGTTAAGGAGAGTGTGGCCTGCTCAATCCCTTAGCACTAGGAGTCCAGTCTGAGCCTCACTTCTTTAAGACCCCAACTCTTTCCCCCTCTCATTCACCCACCTCTTTATTTCACAAAGAAAACTTCTCATTGCCTCACTATGGTCGGGAAAGAGGTCACTGGGTTTTATCCTTGCCTCTGTCTGTGTCTTGGACAACTAGATTTATCAATATGAAAGTTAGTTTTCATATCTGTAACATAAGTATACTTAATTTCTGCTGGCATACCACCCAGAGTTTTTCTGATGATCAAAATGAGTTAATAGATGGGAAAGTATTTGAAAAGAATTAAATACTTCATTGACACAAGAATAGTGATGATGATGACGATGCAGCAGAGCTGATGGCAATAAAGATGACGATGGTGATGTGATGATACTGCAGAGATGATGGTGATAGGATGATGACGGTGATGACAATGATGATGATGGTGATAATGATGAGTGCATGGTGATGATGGTGATGGTGATGGTAGTGATGGTGATGATGATGATCTGTGGAGCCAATGGTGATAAGGATGATGATGATGATAATGATGGTGATGATGCAGAGCTGATGGTGATAAAGATGATAGTAGTGATGGTGATGGTGATAATGATGATGGTGATGGTGATGGTGATAATGATGATGGTGATGACAATGATGATGATGCAGAGCTGATGGTGATGATGGTCGTGATGTTGGTGATGATGATGATGATGATATGATCTGTGGAGATAATGGTGATAAGGATAATGATGGGGATGCAATGATAATGATAATGATGCAGAGCTGATGGTGATAAAGATCATGATAATAATGGTGATGGTGATCATACTGCAGGGGTGATGGTGATAAAGATGACCATGGTGATGATGATGGTGAAGAAGTTAATTGTGAAGAAGATTAAGAAGGAAGAAGAGGAGAAGAAAAAATGGTTCCCCAAACCCCTTCCACAACAACATGCCTTTACAGTGTTCCAGGGACTATGTTCAGGTGAAAGCGCTGTTTTACTCAGACCAAACAATAATGAGAGTGCTAAGGGAAAGTGAAGCACCATTGATGTGCTTAAAGTCAAGGCCAGAAGAAGAGCTCCCTATAAATGGCACTGAATGGGCTGAATTTCAGACACTCAAATGCAAAACCTTCTCCCCTACCCAAAGACAGGGTTTTTCTCCACGGAATTCATAGATGGGTTCTCCCCACTGTGGCCTTTCCCTTGCTGCATACTCAAAGTTCTTTCAGATATAACAAGGCTTCGAGATTCATTCATACAGAGCCAAACATATTCTCTTGAAATGAAGGTGAGGGCGATGTTTTTGAGCTTTCAGGCTATGTATTCAGTGCTTGAAGTTCTGAATCCTAAAAGCTTACATGGAAGACAAAGATGGTTTGGAAGCAGGGCACATCCTTAGGAGCAGCTCTCGTAGCTTTCCGGAAATAAGTTGGGATTGGCAGATCTCCTCAGGTTCTTCCTGTAACAAATTAGGGTGGAAAGAGATGAGTTCATGCATTTCCCAGTTTCTCAAAAGAATGTAGACTTGTCATTTTCAGACATAAGAGATAAATGGAACCACTTTCTCAAATTGTGAAATGTCTTATATGACGAGGTAATAATAGTACATTTTCTGTCATCAAGGCAGGAAATCAAGGCTAATAAAATACATGTCCATGAATGGAAGATAAGCAAGAATCTCTAGTGTCCCTGGGCTATGGGAAAACAACGCTGCTCTAGAAGCTGTCATATTTTATTCAGTCTTTAATTCACACACACACATCTGTGGAGTGACCAAGTGGTAACAGGAAGAGATATGGGGAAGAGCAAAGCTGACTCACCCTGACACTTGGCACTCCCAGCTCAGTGGGGAAGATGGACATGGATTTAGGCTAAATGAGGAGGGACATACAGAGTGTACATGAAATGAAGCAGGGTAGGGGGAGATAATATGGAGGATAACCAACTAGGGGGAAGGGAAAACCACCAAGTACTTGTTGCAATAAAGACCACACTCAGCAGCATTTAGTCTCATCCCGAATTCTAAGACAATTCTTACAAAGCACCAAGTGGTAGACACTAACAAAAGAAAAGGTAACAATTATAAGATTGAGTAATTAAGAAGACAAATATTTGGGAGAGAGACAGAGAGAGAGAGAGAGAGAAAAAGAGAGAGAGAGAGAGAGATGCATAAAGAACGTGGTTAACAAGAAAAATATTTGCCCAGAAGGGAAGATGCTATCTGTTTTTTTTAAATGACCATAGCCAAGCCATTAATAGGGAACATAAATCCTCCCAGGCTCCTTCTACCACCTATAGTTTCCTTGGTATTGTCTTTGGTCCAAGTTCAAGGGATATCTTTGATGATACCCTTAGGTGTCAGCTGCCTATTGACTCATACATCCAGAAGGAAACACCAAACTACTTGAAATTCATCTTTTCTGAAAATGTGCTAAAATCAGTAATAGTTCAAATTAAAACACACTTGCACAATACACAGCTTTAGTTAAATTAACATATAAGGTAGACTTGTCCTCTAGCTCAGGGATAATCAGGTGTTACGACCGTATTTTAAAGATGGGGACTGTAAGGAGTTGGGTTTGCGAGAGACTTTTCCAGACTTCCAAAGCAAGGTAATGACTGAAGTAAAACCATGAAGTGGCTGGCTCAGAATAATGGGAGAAGGAAGTGACAGTGCAGCCTGCCCTAATAATGGTAGTCAGCATGATTTGAAAGGGTATTTTTCTAAGCCCAGGAAAGGTCAGTTTGAATAGCTGTGATCCTGTCTAATCATTCTGGACCACGTGGAAAAAATTATTTTTAAATAGGCAGGAGAATTGATACTGAGTTTTAGTTGCAGACAACAATGACATGGGGAGTCGTCCATGAGGCTGTGAACAGACTAGAACTACAACAGTCTTTCATTTTTGGGAATCAGAAAGATCTTCATCACAGCTTCTTTCTGGCTCTGAGTGGACTCATATATCCCTGTTGTTGTAATAACTGTGGGGCATAAGACGGACTGACTGTGAGATATGGAGCTCTTTGGGGTTAATACTTCTCAATCTGGCCAGTTTCGGACATCACAAACCCATTCTCTGGTTCTTTTCCAGGAGAAAATAGAG